TTAAAATACATTCAGCTACTAGTGGAGAGTTGTCGGTCTCCTAAAGGGTGAAAACCACACCGAAAATCATTAGGAGTGTCTCTGAACAATCGAATGGACTAATCCAGGCTCTATCCAACGGTATAAACGCGAGTAATACTTACCGCAGACTTGAACTGATGCTGTACTGCTTGTAAAGCTCAAACCTTTCGGTGCTCCGATTTGGAGGTAAACACTACATAGTGTGTGTGTGTACCGATGTGCGTATTGAGCACGCTAATCGCGTAAAATGGAGTGCGCACAGCTGGCACCGAAATGCAGCATGGGGTTGAACTACGTCCTGTACAACTTTAGCCGCGTTCCCGTACAGCTGGTTTCATTCTTCGGTTTTGCTCGATCTGCTTTCTCGTCTCAGACTNAGACCTAGGCCCATGCGCAAGCCACGTTCATCTGTTCATCTCGCCGTCTTTTTATTTTCAGGACATCCGGCTCAGTTGGCCATGGTCCACTATGTTTTGTCCAACCGCAAACCCGACTTCGTGTGGTGGACAACAGCCCGTGGAGTAGTATCGCTCCGGCGACAACAGTGGCCGAGTCGTTGGGAGCGAAAAAACGATCACTCACCGGGCCTCAAAAACAACCGGCCGTTGTTATGCGAGCAAAGTTAGCCACGACCCCAACTGGCCTTGCTCTGAAACCAGCCCTCTGTATCCGGGTGTACAATCAGCAAAATAAAGGCCGCATAGGTGAGTGTTGTTATTATCGAAAGAGCATTTATAAATGCATATATTTTTCCTAGCTGTGCCTGAAAAGCATTTTAATCTTATGAACCGCATCCTGGATTTTTGGATTATCCCCGTTTTCATATGCAAAGTCACTCACTATTTTTCATGATCTGGACGGCAACCGAATTAAAGATCGAAATAAGAAATTTCATGAAGTTCTCTTTGATCTACGAAAATATGTGAAGAAACGCTGTTTTCATCGCGACCAAAGTATTGGGTATCCTGTGTACCTTCCCTAACTTATATCTAACTCCTTTCTAAGGTGGACACGTTATTCCTCCTGTGTTTGAATTTCGTCGTGTTCAATTGGCAATCGTAATCCATAGATAGCCAGGTGTGAACTGTGGCAACATTTACCTTCGATAACCTTGAAGGCAAAAAATGTTCAAATAGGTCCCTACAGGTTGTTATCACTTATGACCCATTGAAAGAGGCTTACTGATAACGAGGAGTTCAGCATCAATGCATTTCGTGTGATCAATTTCGAAGAGATGAAATAGATTCAGACCCGCTGTATCACTGTGTGATGCGGGAACTTCCAATCGGACATAAGTCGAACGAACTGGATGTGAATCTGGTCAACAATGATGCCTATATCGATCGGTGTCCCGGTACAGCCGNCGTAAGCAACGGCTCAAGCCTCGATCGCGCATGATCCGTTGGTATCAGCGCAGCATGGCCCGAAATGACTTTTCGGAGGAGAGTGACGAACACAGGTACACAGAGATAGAAACGTACGCGTACTACGAAGGTAAACAATCAAGGTAGGTCATGGAAATTGGATTGGGTGACCGAGAAACGTCTCACAATCGTCACTCGGAGGTCGAGAAGCCTGCTGCATGGCGGCTTTGAATGGCATGAGCCTGGCAACTCCGATGATGTCAACGAGATAGATTGAACGTTCATTCAACTTAAAGTGGTATTCGAACAAGGTACAAGGATACTAATATACCTTA